TCAACAAGATGTGTATGAGAGACAGTATATTATATATATATATATATATATATATATGCGTGTGTGTATGTATATAATTATATATACAGTGGGGTATTGGTTGGGGATAGCCAGCAGTAACATAAATTATTAAATTAATAAACTGCTTACCAAGTTGACAATCATTCCCTATCCACAAATGTTTACATTTCCTTTCTCCACAACTTCCAGTGGCTCTATTACATGGCCCATCATCTTCACAATGACAATAGTACTTACACAGTTCCCCATACTTTCCAACAGGACATGTGTCAGGAACTACATATAAAGGAAACATTTTTAAAACATTTTGTAAAAGAAAAGCATCACAAATTATTAAAAAGGCCGAGCGGACATTTTAAGAAGCAGAATGTAAAGACAAACATTGAAATATGCCCTTAAAACGCCAAAAACTCCGTTCTCTATTACACTCTCCCAATAAGTCTTTAGAGTATTAGAGCCCAAAGAAACCACTGAGCGTTTAAGTGACCATTTTTCATGTTAGGTGACAAAATAATTCCCTATAAATTTTGAAGGTCAGTCTCAGTTAATTGTGGGGATTGGATTGTCTGGTATAGATGTACAATAATTGTTCAATTAATGCCTCTCTCATACATGTGCTATTCTCGAATAAGTGTCAAACACACAACCTTCATCGATAAGCATAAAACGTTTAGCTACATACTATTACATTTGCAAAATGCAAATAAAAAATAATTTTCTCTTTGACATTGTCCGATGTATGAATACAATTAAAAAAGAGATGGATATGCCAAACCTTGACAGTTCTTTCCGGAATATTCATCTGCACATGGTCCATCTGGACATCCGATACTTGGATCGCATTCCACACCATTTGCACAGTGGCATTCCTCGCTGCATGTTGATCCGTATTTCGCCATTGTTTCACATCCTATAAACCAATAATAGTTCCAGTGATTGTATATTCTAATAATCAGTTTTACAGTGCATTAATTATGTGGTATACTTGCCATCGCATCAATATATCCCACACAATGAAATAAAATGGCAGAGGATAACCATTATTATTCTTTTTTTTTTCTTTATTACCTAAATTCAAGACATGCAAGACTCGGGTGTCTGGTGCTACACTAGCCCAACTTTGTCACTTCCCCAAGTGTAATGTCACCGATATCTATATGTATTTAAAATATTAAAGACAATGCTCAACACCATATTTCGATAATTTCATATACTTTTGCAATAATTTTTTAAAACCTTGTTTTAATTTAATATATGAAATCAGACTTTTCACAACTGTTTAGCTCCTGACAGGCAGTGCATCTTCACCATTAATACAGAAAATGAACAAAAGGCTACACTGCAAAATGGTTTTCTTTCTAACTGAAGATATGTAATGAAACATTACTCTTTGCAAATCTAGTTCTATAATTATGTTTATTTGAAATTAAACTTTTTAATTTTAAGTTTAATTTTGCTTAACTTTTTTGCAGTTAAGACCACCATAGCCAGCCATACAAGAGCATCCTAACGGATCTGGAACACACGCCAACATACCGGAACAACCAGGATTGCTACTGCTACAAACAATTGAGCAGTTTCTTGCCCACCTGTTGTTACCACATCCTGGTAATAAACAGTAAATAATAAATAGATAATAAAATTGTAGGAATAATAATAGTAAGATTTAAAGTATACTTCAACTTCAATTTCCATAAATTTGATAAAATTTGACAATTCTAATTTTAACAGATATTACTTAATAAATGATTGAGCATTATAATAAACTAAGTCATTTTAGAGTTAACGAGGGTTAACTATTCGAAAAATCAATCCAAATTTAGAAAGATTTTCATTTTACGCTGCCTTAGCATTTAGTCAAACCAGTCAATTTTTAGACAAAATTATAATGAACAAAAAAGTAATTGTATTTTGTGAAATCTGTTCGTCAAATTTGCACAAAATAACATAATAAAAGTCCTAAAAAATCCAAAACATTGTTAATTTTAAAGATATTTAATGAGTTAAAATCAAATGGTTTATCGCACAACTGCTGTGTTGATGCGTGTAAAAGCATGTCGTTGCCAAGCTGTTGCTAACGAAAAAAGAATATTGCCAAGACTGTCACCGATAATGAATCGCGTCGGGCTGCGTCGTCCGACGCTGTCTGAGTTGGCCTGGAAATTAAAATGTCCGGGAAAAAGTTTTTGATCACATGACTAAACGACGGTCGCTGATTAGTTGGTTCAGGCCCGTAGCCAGGTTCTTCCAAGGGAGGGTTTTCTGGGCGTAAGGTCCACAGTCGAAACCCCGGTGGGGTCGGCGAAACCCCAAACCAAGAGGATTTTTGTGCTTTATGGGTCTAAATAATGCTATAAAAGCAGATATGTTTGAAAATGTCTTATCTGGGTGGGTCTGCAGTGCATTAAGGTACGTTCACATCAAGCCCGGATTCCGGTCCGGACTCCGGACCGGAATCCGGGCTTGATGTGAACGTAGCTTTAGTTGGGTTGGAGGACTTATTTGGGAAATTTAAAGAGGGGGTTTCGCAAGAAAAGAGAGAAGTTTGTTACTAAAGGGAGGTTCTCCCGAACCATAAAAACCCCTGCTGGATACGGGCCTGCGGTTTATCTGTCAATCAAATCTCGTCGAGATGTTAATTAGGTGAAAAGGTGAAGTTTGATGTACATAATCAAAATGTCAAAGTAAAATAAAAATATGAAGTTTGCGTCTCTGCGTGGTGTCAGTTACGATTTTTTCACCAAAACTACAGTCAGTTGTATTGAATTTTGGGTGAACATAATATTTTGTTTCTATCCTAAAACATTTGTTTTACCAAAACTACAGTCAGTTGTATTGAATCCTGGGGGACAAATACATAATCCGGTGACATCATCACACACTCCCCCACTGTAGCACGTAGGACACAAGTGCTGACAATCTGGACCCCAACGAGCTGCAGAGCAACCTGTTGGAGAAAACAGGATCAATCATTATGCGTCTAGTTAAATACATTAATATGTAAATAAAATTAATCCTTCTTTGGTCCATCAAAATGCAAACATCCTGTGATTGGCAGTTAATGTAGGTCTATGCAAGAATATTCTCACGCAATCGTGTAAGACTACATTACGTCCACCACAAAAGCTTTGTCGACTATCAAATTATATGTAAAAATAAAATGTGATATGCCCAGATTTGGGTATTATTGTGGCACCACCATGCCCATATATGGGCATATCACACAAGCTGATAGTAACAGAGCTCTTCGCTTTCAGCCGCACATGCAAACCGACTCGTCAAAAACTATCTCGGGTAATACAAACGTGAATGTTCTTCTATATAAAGTTAAAATACCGTTGCAGCAACACAAATTGTATCTTAACTTAACTAGTGAGATATATAGTAAACAAATAAGTATTAAAAATGTTTTGAAAACAACCCTGAATTGAAACAAATTATTTTAATATAAACTAAAAATTGTTAGCTGGGATTTCAATTTAAAAGATTTTTTCACATTAGAGGTGAAAAGGGGTCTTCTGTGTTCCACAAACACTCTTCTAAGTCCGGGACACAAACAGTATTGAAATTTAGTTTGTGTAAAGCATTATGCGTATGTGTGTGTGTGTGTGGGGGGAGGGGTGTGTATGTTTGTTTGTGAGAGGGATTGTCAGCTACATGTAGGACAGTGATTTATTCTACTATACTATTGACAATCCTTGGTGGATGATGTGTGCCTAAATGAAAAATAATATAAAAATAAGTATTTCAAACATTGTGTTATTGTTAATCACTGGAGATCAACATTCCCTTGATGCATTTACCTCGTACAATGAGCCTCATGATAGCATGTTTGCCTTCACTTCTTCTATTATTTAAATAACATTCATAGATTCCAGCATCAGCTTTTGTAACATACTCAATATAAATGAACTCTGAACTTTTCAAACCCTGAGAGATTCTCAGAGTTCCAATTTCATCACTTTTAAAATATATTTGACATTAATTAATACGATATTTAATTTTTTTGTTCAATGTGAATAAACTTTTGCCAAGTTTTCCTTCTGTAATTAATTAAAATACTTAACAAATCTATAAATGAACTCTGAACTTTTCAAACCCTGAGAGATTCTCAGAGTTCCAATTTCATCACTTTTAAAATATATTTTTGTTATCTACGTGTTAATGTTTTAGGATGGAATAAGACTGCTCTTGATTTTATGAATCAAAATAGTGAATCATTTTTTATAGAGTTACCAGAAAGGATTACTCTAAAGTGAATTAATCACTTCATTTATTTAAACCAAGGTTACTAAAAATCTAAATCATGTAAATCATGTTATTAACGGATAGGTCGCTCGTTTTTCTCTTTAATTTTTAATATTTTATTTAATGAATGAAGTCGATGAACTATAAAGCCGGACAATTATTTCGTCGTACGACCTTCGGCCAATGAATCCCAGCTTAAGTGTACTAACCAGATATTGTTGCTACCAGTGAGACCTTTAGACCCATGGTATTCTTGACAATTTTATCATGCCTGAAAGCTACTTCATTGTTTGACGTGATAGGAAAGATCTTAGAGGGGTGACCTAATTTTGTATATTCACGAAAATGTGATGTTTAAATGAATTATCATGATTCAGTGAAAAGATTATGAAAAAACTATCTGAACCAGGCGGATACTAAGACAATTTACAAATATTTCTACTGGTTTGATCTACCACACCCTGAGCTCTGTTGGGATTTGACGTGTACGTCATAGTATATAATGTGTGGATCATCTCTGTAAGCTATCGTGACAAATTGAGTCTTGTGGTTAAAAAAAATGAGTTATTGATATGTGTATATACATGACTATATATGCTTTATTTTGGTCTTCGAATTAGGCCTACAAATATACTTAAAAAATTTGCCACAACTGAGTAATTTTGTGTTGGTTTTCCTAATAATTGTGAAAGATAGCTTTACAAAGCAACCTCAAAGACAACCTTACGTTAGGTAACTCACCTCAGAACTTTTGCAACCATTGATATTAAACTTATTAGAAACCCATTTGTTGTTAAAATATCACTTCACATGTGTTTTCTTAAATTGACCTGGCAAGACTTATTTTGTAGACACCTCACATTTGTGGTGAAAAACCAGACACATGTATTATTTTGACACTAATTTATAAGAAGCATATCTCCCTCCTAAATGTTAAGCACCCCTTGGTCTTTCTGAGCATAATGTCGCTTTACTTTCACTATTCAAATTTCCGATAGTCATCTATTTCAACACGGCGACAAATCATTAATACAGAACGGACAGTAAATTCGTGGATGATTTGTCATCTATTTGAAGGTAAGAACTTTACAGGCTCAGTGATTGTGCGAGTACCTCAGTCTAAATAGTATTGGAAAACATGAACGAACTAATTGATAAACATTTTCCATGGACTGTAAATAAAAGGTGTTAGTAAGACAAACTCAGATAACTTCAGATTTTAAACCGATGGTTCACAAGGAAAAGTTGTTTTTTCTAAGGACAAAAATTCGGCTGAGTTTCGCCAAATTAGGCATATCAACTAAATGACATGATAAAATGCTATAAACATTGGGCGTCCTTTTAGATCTTAGAATGTGGTGGAGTAGAGTTACGAAGTTGATGTGTGCCCGGGTAATCAATACGTTCTCGCCGACAATATCAACGAGTAGCCTACCTTACCTTATTCACATCTGCATTAACCCCTGCAGCATGTTGATTTGAATGACAATAGTGATAATACTGACATTCCTTCACATTTGATAATAGACCCAGAAGCTATTGAGTGCAAACTCAATAAGCTTAAATGTAACAAATCCTCTGGTTCGGACAGATTTGGACCCTGAAAATATATACTAGTGTAATTTTAAGACCTCTATGTGCAATTATTAAATC